TCTCCTTTGAGAGCACTAATGCGCTCAGTAGGTTTCATTGCAATCTGCGTGCTTTTAATATTTCTCATCTTCAGATGGAAACTGTAAGTTAATGTTGGCTCAAGGGAAATGTTCAGTGAAGTCATGGAAACATGAGAGTTCTGACCCCTGGCATTCATAAAAGACAAAAAGCCCAAGGATGTTTGGGCTCTACGGATTGTTGAGAAAAGCTGCTGTGAATCGGATTTGCCAAAACACATTTGTCGAATTTATGACCAAATCTGACGGATTCACTGGTTCAGTGCAGTTTTGCTTTTTATTGCATTGCTTTTGTGATGTTTACCCTACACCGACATGGAAGTAACATCTAAGTATAAACCCCAGAACACATCCTTATTCTTATACACATATTCTTATACAGTCGTGTTGTTTTTATGCTATTATTGCTTAGCGTAGTTGATGTTTTTCTTAGTTCATATCTTAGATCTTATTACTGTTTTTCTTTTACATTTTTTCGTTGGGATGTAACTGGGATCCTGTGTATACAAAGTCGTTCCACCACATGTACCACATGTGGTGCGTATAACACTAAAGAAACTCTGACTTATTCTTTTAAAAAGCATCAGGGTTTTAATGACTCTTAGCCTGTCTATGGAGTGGTTGTAGGGACACACACGTTTGCTTTTGTACTGCCTGAGGAACTGTGTTTCGCAACAATCAGCCAATAGTGAGCATGGCCACATATGCACATGACATTCACACACTAAAACATGATAGGACATCATAGTTAGAGCTGAGTTGTTGATCTTTGGTTCAGATTTCAAAATCGAGTTTGAGAGAGTGCTACAAAAAGGAAGGAGGAAGAAGGAGGTAAAGGAGCAAAGATGCATGCAACAGGTTAGTCTGCATGTTCATAGAAGAACTGTCACTGCAGACAAGGTTACGTAGCTTCTACTTTAGCTATTCAAATTAAGTTTTATTAGTGTGAGTAGAGGAAAAGCATTAACCTTGTTTGGCCTATAAAAGTGCATTTATGTACAAAATAATCACATCCCTTGATGTCACCCAAGAGTCCTTATTCAACCAAGAAAATACTTACTTTAAAGCAAAAGCTAAAAAGACTCTATAAAAGTATAGACTGTGAATGGCCAAGGTATTGCTAAAGTATCCAAAAAAGTTCAATCTGGTCCTCTGGACATTAAAAAAAAAAAAAAAAAAAAAGCAAAAAAAATATAGAAACGTTTCGTCTCTCATCCGAGAGACTTCCTCAGTCTGAGGTGCTGTTTTCAGCTCAGTCTCTTAAATAGCACCTTCTCAGAGTGGATCAACCAGTTTGCTGCTGACAACCAAAACCAGCTGATCACATGGTCAAGAAGGACCATCAGCCTAACAATGGATCATTAGCACACTGATGGCTGTTTACTGTTCAGGGGGGACAGCGTCCCCACTAGCTCAGGAGCCAGGCAGAAGGAGAAATCCTACACAAAACAGGCTCTAGAGCAATGTGGATATCCTAACTGTGCCTTCCTGAAAGCAGAGAAGAAACCCAAACAAGACTCCAGTCAGCCAACAGGTGAAAAGGAGGAACCCAGACCCAGACCAGTGGTCATTCCATATGTTAAGGGAGTATCAGAGAAACTGAGACGTTTATTTTCTAAACATAACGTCCCAGTGGCTTTTAAACCCCAAAATACATTACGGCAAAGACTGGTTCATCCCAAAGATCCAGTCCCCCGGCACAAACAGAGTAAAGTTGTGTATGCTGTTCAGTGTCAGGAGGGCTGTGATCAGTCTTACATCGGGGAAACTAAACAGCCACTGGCCAAAAGGATGGCCCAGCACAGAAGATCAACATCATCAGGCCAGGACTCTGCGGTCTACACTCATCTCCAGGCCAGCGGTCACTCTTTCAAGGATGAAGATGTTCACATCCTGGACAGAGAGGAACGATGGTTTGAGAGAGGAGTAAAGGAGGCCATCTTTGTGAAAAGAAATCGTCCATCATTAAACAGGGGTGGAGGCCTCCGGGTTCAATTGTCCCCCTCTTACAATGCTGTGATTGCTAGTATCACTCAGTCCTCTGTGAACAGTAAACAGCCATCAGTGTGCTAATGATCCTTTGTTAGGCTGATGGTCCTTCTTGAGCATGTGATCAGCTGGTTTTGGTTGTCAGCAGCAAAACTGGTTGATCCACTCTAAGAAGGTGCTATTTAAGAGACTGAGCTGAAAACAGCTCCTCAGACTGAGGAAGTCTCTCGGATGAAAAACGAAACGTTTCTACTTTTTTTTGCTTTGTTTTGTTTTTTGTTTTTTTTGAATGTCCAGAGGACCAGATTGAACTTTTTTGGATTTTTCTACCTGGATTATTGAGCATGCATCAGGATATTGCTAAAGTAAAAATCTAAAAGCAAAGCGGTTATAAGGGCTGCGGACTGGTTATGTGTGGTCTGAAATCACCTCAAAACACTTTGCACCAAGAACAACATGTTTTAATTGGCCTTTTCTAAAATACTGTAGCTTTTTTGTACTTTAATGTAGGGTTGTTATACTTTATGTTCTCCGACTCTCTAAAACTTCACAGGAGGGATAAATCCACTCATCTAAATAAAAATAAAAACATGCTTTTTTTATTTATTTTTTACGGTGATGGTGCTTTAGAGGGTTGTGTGACATTTTATTCAAAACTGCCATAAAGGTGTTGTTCTTCACTTCTTTGTTTAAAGATTGCCAACTGTATGCAGAACAAATTAACACATGCAATATAAACACAAACAAAAGAAATAGTTATATTTTGTCTCGGATAATAAACCAAAACCAGTTTTAATCTGCAGTTTTCACTTCTGTAATATATTAGCACCATGCTGTCCTCTGCTCTGCCTGACACGTTTATCTGAGCCAGCAAAGTGCTAAGCATGAGATAGCATTAACGCAGAGTCAGAGTTTTTGTTGTTCTTATCATCGTGGGTGCAGCAGGTGGAGGCTGAGCGCAGCTACGGGCCGTCGGACATCAGCCGCCTCCGATCCCTGTGCAGGTCGTTTATTACGGTACACTTCATCTGATATCTGATCAGTGAGTGGACAGAAAGGACAGAGACTCATCGGCAGACGTACACGGGATGATTAATCTGAGAAAGTGCTGAGAGGACCACAACATACACCGGGTCATCCCCACAACGTTCATTATGACTGAGTGTGCAGTAAAACATGAGAAAATATTCACTGAAAAATGCTTTCAGTTGCTGCAAAAACTATAACCCCCATCAAAAAGACTATGTCTTATGAGAAACATTTACTATACTATGTGCAAGACAAAGTACTTGTACATACTAGAACTAATACAAGCAGTACGACAATGTCCCCCGTCACTGAGGGATTTGAATAAAGAATGTTTGTAGTTTTCAAGATGAGAGTGTTTTTCTGGACTGGAAGTGAACAGGGAATGCAACTAAACCTTAATGTTTGATGCAAGATATTCAAGTGGGCAGGAGTTACACTGTGCGTAAGAACAGAGGTAGGTTTAGTTTTCTTGCTTATCCAAGGCAGCACAGAGTACTAGATCAGGGCAAGTGAAGGGAGCAATTTAGGCACAGTGGTGGAGCCAGGGGTTGGCCAATGGTGGCCTTGACCACCATAGATTAATCTTCAGTCACCCCAATTATTTGATGAAATTATACTTTCAAGCAATTTACAAACTAGAAAGCATAGTCTCCTCAAATAATAGGGGTGTTCAGTTTAAATATATGCATCATGGTAGCCATCTTGGATTTTGATATGGGAACCCAATTTTCGAAAGTGACCTAAAGTGTGTTGGGTTTTCCCCGGGTACTCCAGTTTCCTCCCACAGACCTAAAACATACATGTTAGGCTGATTGGTAACTCTAAACTTTCTCTAGGTGTGAGTGAGAGAGTGAATGGTTGTTTGTCTCATTTGTCTCTATGTGTCCCTGTGATGGACTGGAGACATGTCCAGGGTGTCCCCCACCTCTTGCACAGTGACGGCTGGACACGAGCACCAGTGACCCCATGACCCAAAAAGCAAGAAGCAGGTAAAGATAATGGATGGATGGAACTTGGGGTGGTTTTATGACATTGTACTTATGAGATGGTAAATTATAAATGGTTAATAAAACTCTTAGTACCATGGATGTACAGCTTATTACTTTTTTGAGTCAACCCAATTCAAGATGGCCACCACAGTAAGTTGAGAGTAGAAAAATTGCTTTACCTGTTAATTTTACAGATATTGAGTTAGGTGGTAGCAGCTGAACCATTCCAAACAAATACTATAAGCGGTAACGGATCGTACGACATAAATAAATTGTAAGTTAGTAAACAACCATATCTTAAGGTTTGACCAAAATATTTATAACCTTTTTATTTATAAGTTTTAAACGCAACGGGTGATAACGTTGTCACTTTTCATTTAGTCTATTTCATAATTTTTAAGTCGCTAATCCCTTACTTTATATCTGTGAGATCTTTCTAATGTCAACTAGATAAAATAGTTTAACAAAACAAAACAGAAACGGTAAGATGAATAAACATCCTTACAGCTCAGCCCCACAGTTCAGTTAATTTAATTTCAAACTATGATACAGGTATTTTATAAACAATTTGCTGGCTAGTTTTAAAGCATGCCAATGCGAACATTGTAATAAGTCATGACTCAGAAATTTGCAGGCTGCCATCAGATCAAGTTTTTACATGCTGTCTCTGAGGGCTGCATGTGATTTGTTTGGATCCCCTCCTGTCGCTGTGGTTGACAGATAACGGGTGTCAACCAGCCTGCCTACATCTTTACCACAGACAAATGACCTGCCGCAGCTTGCTGCATCGCACTCACAACGTCCAAAGGACTAAAGCAAAAATATGGAGAAAGTAAGATAAACTCACCCATTAATATAAAATCTAAAGCTTAATTCAAACACAAACGTAAACTCTAAAAACGTACTTGTGTTTAATTAATTAATTTATTTATTTTTACCAGTATTGCAGTGTTTGTGTTAGTAATGGTCACTGACCTGCTTGAACAAACAAAGGCTTTTCTAGAAGAAAAACAGTTTGTTTCCAGTGCGTCTTTGTGACCTGAGGACCTGTGGAGAACTTCACCTGGAATAGACACACACACAAGGGGGGGCAATTTAAAACTTCAACATCTTGTGCTCAAGAGTTCAGGGCTTATTGTCATATTGAAATATCTCAAAACAAACTTTTGAATGCTAAAAAAACTCCCTTTATAAAAAAAAAAACCCAGTTGTTTTAAAAATCTGGTTGAATTTTGGACAAAACAAACTGAAGTAGAATAATTTGAGACTATGAGAGGCTGAAAGTAAACAGAACCGTTTTTACTATAATAAAACAGCACTTTATTATTACATAATAATAATATTATTTTTTTTTATTATTTATTGTTTGTTTATTTGATTGACTTTTCTTAGACCTGTCTAAAGCTTTTGACACTGTGGACCATGACATCTTGTGTCATAAGCTCTCAGAAATTGGTTTCTCAGATCACACTCACTAATTATCTCTCAGATAGGAGGAAATGTGTTAAACATATTGGTACTTCCACCAGTTATCTAATTGTTTACAAGGGTGTACCACAAGGTTCAGACTTAGGACCCACCCTCTTCACAATCTACATATGTAGGTCAGATCATCCCTGATGCATCCATATAGCTCTATGCCGACAACACAGTTGTTTATTGTCGAGCTAGAACAGTTGCTAAGGTTTTCCAGCTTTTACAGTCTGCATTTGACATCATCCAGTCAGATTTGTTCCATCTCAAACTGGTGCTAAAAGCTGATAAAACCAAAGGGATGCTATTTTCAAACAGGAAGTCAGTTCCAGCAGTCCTTCCTTCTATTTTATCTGCAACTGGTGTTCCTATTGAGTTTGTCGATTCTTATAAATATTTGGGTTTTTTGGTCAATTCACATCTCTCTTTTTAAGCCTCATGTCACAAACTTGGTAAAGAAACTGAAAGTAAATCTGGGTTTCTTTTTCAGAAATAGATCCTGTCTAACTCTGAACACTAGGACACATTGTAACTGCTACTGTTCTTCCATCCACTGACTATGGTGACATTTCCATGAAGGCTCCTGCAAGCACCCTGCAGATGTTGGATGCTGTCTATCACGGTGCACTAAGATTCATAGCTGGCTGTAACTACCGTACCCATCACTGCGCTCGGTATTCACTGGTTAACTGGTCATCATTAATCCAACAATTTTCAGTCAGGTCATCTGGACAGTTTCTTGACTTTTTTGGTCATCATTAACTTCACGCAGACTCTCTCACTGGTACATTTTCATCTTTAAATCACTTCTTGGTCTGTTGCCTTTCATAGATCACTTCCTACATGTCTCTGTGAGAGTGCAGCTACAGCGTGCGCTCTCAGGACATAATTACTTGCAGTGTCCCCTCAGTGCGGACTGAACTAGGCAAAAGGACCTTCTCTTCCTCTGCTCCCGTTTCCTGGAACACCTTGCAAAAAGATCGGAAGATCTCGACCTTGACTTCTCTAAGGGATTTTAAACATCTGTTAAGTTCATGGCAAAAACCAACCAACCATGTTCCTGTTTTTAGTATTTTACCTCGCTTTATACCGTATAGTATTATAGTATAGTATACTATAATGTATCATATTTTACACCGCTTTATAATGTAGCTGTTTTTGTTTCGTTTTTATTTCATTTTATGTGCTCTTTATACGATTGTCTGTTGTTGTCTGTACCTCATCTGTGTTCATTGCTTAAAACAGGTCTCTCTTGTAAATGAGTCCTCGTGGCTCAACAAGACTAAAAATGCATAAATAAAGGTTGAATTGAATTCTGTGCAGTCAATTCACTTTTAGAGTTCTGAGTTTTAAAACCAATTATAGCTTAGTCTGTGTGCTAAATAAAATAATTGCTTTGCACTTTTTCAGCAAAATGAAGCCTATTTTTACACACTGTTACAGCAATAGCCTCCAGTGCAAATGGTAATTTACTGCTTCAGCCATAATTTTCAGCAGGATTCCCAGGTAGAATAGGAAGTGCAATCAAAAGGCATGTCTGTGTTGCTCACAGAGCTTGGCATCAGCTGTTCCTCCTGGCCAGGCTCTGCTGGGTAAATGCTTGTATCAGCAGTTGGCTAAGACGCCCGTCGATTGCCAGCGAACGCCTCAGGGAGGAGGAACACGCTAAAGCGTGAACGTAATTGAGTTTCCATTAAATGGCTAGGATGTTGCCACTGCTGCTTACCTTGTTGCTGCAGCCTTTGTCGAAGAAAATGTCAAAGTAGCCGACAATTGCCTGGAATGAAATATTAGGGTCGTGTTAGATTGTGACAGTACAATAAACCCCTGGATGTATTTGACTACACAGCAGCTCTGACACGCACAGGTGAGAGGCAAACCTCGTCTCAACGAGCAGAATTTAGCTTGAGCTAAAACTAAAGCGCAAATATCAGACTGACACAGAAAGTGACCTTTTTGTTTACAGTTAAAAATAAAGCACAGCTTATTTGTACTGGTAATTCAAAAATGACATAATAATTGTATCTGTTTTTCAAGATGCTTTGAGTGTTTGGTCTGAGAAAATAAATATAAATTCTGTTCACCTGTCTCAAACGCTATCTGTTTTATTTTTTACCCCAATTCTTCTCAAAATTAACTTGGTAACTTGTCTGACTTTAGGCTGAGCCCATAATATTTCCCCTCACTTCATCTGACTTGTCTCTGGACAGAAGAAATATATTGTGAGGCAGCCACCACCAACAAAATAAAATTCTGCTGACAAATAAAGAGCTTGCTACATGAAATTAGCTACGGTGGCTATTTTGGTGACAGTGTTGCAATGAAGTAAAAAATACCCAAGAGAGGAAAAAAATAAACTGTGTTTGCTCCAATTGAGTAGGAATGTCTGGAAAATGCACACAAGGGGAAAATAAAATTACATAATTATTTGTCAGGTTACTGTGACATAAAAAAGTCTTAATAAAAAACAAGTCGGGACCAGTTTGATGTTTTGTTAGAGCTTCCATTTGACAATTTATTTATGACTAACCAGAAATGATAAATTTACACAATTCCAGTCATGGAAATACAGCATTTTTTATTAGACTGATTGTTATGAGTTGCTCTACAAACAGAGTATCTGTATGAAAATTAATTCAAACACCTAAAACAAAATAAAGGAAAGTCCAAGGCCTGAATGCCTTTAGGTGAAAGTTGTCGGATTTGTGGGTTCAAAACCTCCCCCTTCAGGTTTGTTTGCCTCCCGTTTCTGCCCCCACTGGATGAGCAGGGCCACTCTATCAATCTCAAGAGCACACTTGTAGTGGCAATGATGCAGAACTAATAGCTTTTAATCCTGACGCAGCTGACAACTTGGAGGCCGGTTCTCTGAGACAAAGAAGAACCAAATCAATGCAAGACAGGAAGAGAGTGGAACAGCAGACAGACAGTGGGGTGGGGGTGGAAAGAAAGCTGTAAAGACAGTAACACAGAAAGAAGCTGAAAGAGAATGAATAAAGGGTTCAAAGAACCACAACGTAAACCTTGAAAATCAGGTTTCTTTGTAAATATATGCATCATGGTAGCCATGATGCATATATCTCACAGCTAAGCTGCCAGAAAAGAACCCAAAGTGGATAAAAGAGCATGTCAACCCAATGCAATTACAGCTTTTAATGAACACTACAGAGCAGCTCGTTGCTGAAGTAATTAGGAAATTAGCCATAATTACTCATCAGACCGTGCAGATTCACCTCGCTCGGTCAGAGAGGCAGAGATCATCCTCAGCGCACCTCACTGATGACAACGCCTCATAAGCGAGATTGATTGTCACTTTTATGTTGCGCGAGTTTCAAACGACAGCCGAGATAGGCGATTAAACTTTGAGCTACAGAGTGAAACTTGCAAATAAGAAGCCAGCTAAAGAGAGCGGCTCCTCGAACGTCACAGTAAAATTAAATCTGGAGAAAAAAGAGAGAGCTATAACATCCCCAGACGTTAAACACAAAAGATGTAGACAAGTTCAGATAAATTGTAAAAACCTTTATGACATAAACCTAATATGCTCTGTATCAAATCTACCAAATCAGCAGCTTTCAATGCTTTTTTACTTTGAGGCGTGAAAATGTTGTCAAACTTTGCAAGGCCGTCAGAAAGAAGACCGTTTCCAAACTTACTATAGGCAATGGAAGGAAAAACATATTTTGGGAGTATGGTAATATAAAGCTATCTCTCAAACACTGATTATAATTAAAATGTATGACGGAAGTGGACGCTGTAAATTCATAAAACTAAAATGTTTTGTCATTTATTTGCAGGAAAAACCTTAAAGAAGCTGGTGAGTGCAGAACATTTGACATGACCCTGTCCTAAAAACTAATTAAAATACTTGCAAAAACATTAAACATATCACAATACTTCCTAAACAACGCCAGACTCATTGGTGCTGTGCTCTCTTCACCTCACAGATGAGAAAACCAATTTTATTTTAATTTCTGTTCACCTGATACAATAATGTCTGTTAACTTGTTTTTACACAGCTCACTCTGCACATACTGAAAAAGACGAATCTAAATTTGAAGCTTTGGAGCTTAATTAATTGCTTACAGTTTTATATAGAAATAATTGTCTTTTTTATATTACTTTCTTGGTTAGACATCCTATTAATCCAGCTAATGAATATGTATAATCATACTGGACACCATACAGGGTCCTGGAAGTTTACGCCAAAAGGGAAATCCCCTTATGATGGTGCCAGTACACGTTAAAGTCCTGCCTCTTTCATGTAAATGAATGGGACATTTTTGTTTCACTTATTCAGCTTCAGGGTACGAATCCCCTGCGATAAACAAGGGACTACTGTTTATAAATAAATAAAAACCTCAGATTTATTATCTTGTTGATTTATTTACTTTTAGATACCACTGCACTTCTTACAACTACTTTAAATATGTGTTTAAAAATCAGAGGAGAATATCCTGATACATGCTCAATAATCCAGGAAGAAAAAAGAGGAGAATACTTGTTCTATGAACTCCTCAAACAGAGTCAGGACAGCAGGACAGAGTTCACATCTATACTACAGTCATGGTGAGGCTGTGGCTGAGTGGTTAGAGCAGTCGTCCTCCAATGGGAGAGTTGGGGGTTCGATTCCACCAGTGGTCACATGCTGAAGTGTCCCTGGGCAAGACACTGAACCCCTCATTGCCTCCGATGTGTGTCCCATTGGTGTATGAATGTGATAAAGCTCTGATTATTCTTTGTATAGATCTATCTGATAACACGTGTTCAAAAAGTGGTATTTAAAGTTTATGTCCATTATTAGTTTATCTTTATTCTCTAAAAGTCCAAGAGTTCTGCAGTGTTTATGAATACTTTTATGTTAATACTCTGTTTCAAGTTTTGCTTTGAATCAGATTTGGGGTTTGCCTGACTTCTGATTTCTTTCCCTAATTAACAAAATCATGGTATTGTATAGAAATTGTATGATTTGAATTGTGAACTGTTTGCACCGTATTATCTTACCTTTAGGTCCACATTTTTAAAGTGCCCATAACATCAAACTTTCATAACAAATATGAATGCATTTTTGAAAAGATAACATTAACAAAGCACTGCAAAAAAAATGCTGCTGTTGTTGAGATATTTGCACGTGCAGTAACAGGAAGTGACGACAAAGGGGGAAGTCTGCATGGAAACTGAGCATTGCTACAATAACAACACAGACAGTAAGACTGACTGTTCATTACACTATTCTGAGTCTCTGTCAGACAGAGATGAGAAATCAGAGTTCAAATGTTTCAGTAAATTAATTCCAGGGAATAAGAGTTCCCCTATGATGTCACTTCCTGTTTCACTTTGGCTGCGCCAAGTTCAAAAGAAAATATGCCAGTTATGTGACAAAATGGGTAAAATTATGTGTATTAGGCCAAATGTATTAAATAAAAACATGTTTTCTTCCACTTTTGTGTGTATGTCACTGGCACTTAAAGGAATCATTACAATAAAAGTGCTTTTAGAGAAATAAAAAGACTAAACAAAACTGTGAATAATGGTATACTTGTCAAGTTTTGTGTCCCATTATACAGTGTTGAAAGGGAAAGACATTTTAAGGAATGAGAAAGACAGAATAGAGATGAAGGGAAAAGAAAGGGGAATGTAAAACTGCGGGGACAGACCCATTCACACAGAAAAACAGGAAAATCAGAATGAATGCATTTCATTTTCATCAGCGTTTAGCCTTGGGCCTCAGCTCTGTCTATGATAAGTGATGACAGCGGGCTTCCTGACAGCCCATAAAGGAGGCTCCACAACGCCGCTGCTCTCCGGCCCCCATTCTCTGAGAAAAGTGGGGGGAAAATAATAATTATCATCATGGATAACACCAACAGGGAGCAATTCATCATTTCTCCCCTTTCGCCTGACTATGTGTCAGTGAGCTGTGTGGCCCGGCCAGATACTATTATACAACGGTGGAGGGGGAGGTTGTAGAAAAAGAGGGGGGGTGGGGTTAAATGGAGGGAGAAGGAGGGGCACCAAGGTAAAGGGGAGGGAGGGGGTGGGAGAAAAGAGGGCTAATGCGCTTTTGATGGGGTTTATCCAGGCATGGAGGCTTCACGAACGACCACCTCTAAAGCAAGATAGTGTGCTATCCCCCCACAGACCCTGCCTCTCCTCCCAGCCTTTCTGGTCAACTGCTTAGGAGATCAAACACAAATGTGCTTTGGTCCCTACAGGTGGTGATCCTCATTCAAGATACTTTGACGATTTGATTTACAATCAATCAATCAACCAAAGGAAAAGGAACTAAAAGCTGTCAATACATTTTAAAGACTAAAAGTACTTGGGGTCCACTGTCCAGGAAAATAGGGAGTGTGGTAAAGAAGTGAAAGAGAGAGTCCAGGCAGGATGGAGTGGATGGAGAAAAGTTTCAGGAGTGATTTGCAACAAAAGGGTGTCAGCAAGGGTCAAAGGAAAAGTTTACAAGACAGTTGTGAGACCAGCTATGTTGTATGGTGTGGAGACAGAGACATGGACAAAAAGACAGGAGAAGAACTGGAAGTGTCAGAAATGAAGATGTTGAGGTTCTCCTTAGGAGTGACAAGGATGGAGAAGATTAGGAATGTGATCATCAGAGGTACAGAACAGGTTAAACAACTGGGAGATAAAGTTAGAGAGACCAGACTTAGATGGTTTGGACATGTCCAGAGGAGGGACAGTGGGTATATTGGTAGAAGGATGTTAGAAATGCAGCTGCCAGGAAAAAGACAAAGAGGAAGGTCGAAGAGGAGATATATG